ATATATATAATGTTGAAAATAGTTCCACTCTTCTTTTATTTTTTCTTTTTTTTTGAAAGAAGTTATAAAATTTTATTAAAGGAGACTGAAACGAAATTACAGAATTAGAGAATTGCCTCAAATAAAAAAATGCCCCATTCGCAAGAGAATCAGTCATCACATTGGCTTCCTAATAGACATGCACAAAAGAAAATGAGAAAGGCCTAGATAAATCCAAGATATACCACAACACAGTTCTTGGCATCCCGAAAGACATGCACAAAAGAAAATGAGAAAGTCCTAGATAAATCCAAGATCTACAACAACACAGTTCTAAGCTCCCAAGGCAGCTTCTGCCCCTTTTTGCACCACCTTATGACATTTAGGGAATCACCTTCGATAATGCAAAAGGGACCTAAACTTCTTCCCACCAAAATTTGCAAACGATGAAGTAGAGCCAAAAGTTCGGCATGTTAGCTGTTTTAACCCCAAGTGTGCCAGCATAAGTAAAAACAATATTACTTTCCTAATCTTTAACCAAACCACCTAGACCAGCTAACTCAAGGTTTCCTTGCAAGCTACCGTCAAAGCTTATAGACTCCCCTCGAAGTTGGAACGCACAACCCTGCACTTGATAGAGCCCATTTGGAATAAGCTAGATAAATTTCTTGTAACGTCAACCTCCATAATATCTTACCAGTTAACCCAAGGTTTCCTTGCGAGCTATCGTCAAAGTTAAGCTTATAGACTTCTCTCGAAGGATGAACCCATCTACCCTTAGGCCTACCCTTCATAAAGCCCATTTGAAATAAGCTAGATAAATTTCTTCAACTTCCATAATATCTTTTCCCACTTTTGTAACCGATAGATATAACCAAATGGCAAGCAAAATTTTCTCCATAATCCTCTTAAAAGGTAAGCTTATCCCATCAAAAATTCTTCTACTTCTCTCTTTCCAAATCTCGCACAAAATCATCCCTAGCTCAACCTTCCAAATCACCCTATTTTTCCTTTCTGAAACAATAAGTAGGAGAAATTTCTTCATGGAGAACCAGTTTGTTTTGGTCATGAAACTCTCATTGATTAAATCAAACCACGCACCATACCCATGGCTCGAATTCGTCTGTTTAGTTCGTTTTGTGTATTTTATTTTTCTACTGTCCAACTGATATTTGATGTTAATGTTGGGTATATGTGGCTATTGAAAGCCTTAGAAGTACTTGTAATTGAACTTTTTGATATAATGGAACATGAACTCAGTGGGAGTGTGGTCTTGTGTGGACCATATTTACCGAACTGAGATTGACGAGCTAGACTAGTCGGTTGAAAAAAACCCATGTTACTTGATCATAGAGAATAAACCGATAAGGGTTATAATGAGTCATCCCTTGGTGAGGTCGAAGTATGCCTAGAAAAGTGACTGTGTGATTGTCGTGTGTGATGGAAGCCTTTAGAGACAGGAGCCAAAACTACAATTGTGTAGCGTCACACAACATGCATATATGATAGCCAAGTGACTGTGTGATTGTCGTGTGTGATGGAAGCCTTTAGAGACAGGAGCCAAAACTACAATTGTGTAGCGTCACACAACATGCATATATGATAGCCATTTTCGAGAAAGCGAACCACCTTTCAAGGTGAAGCTTGTGCATGTGCCAGAGATTACCTTTGTGCATTATAAAGCTGTGGATTGCATCAGGTCTAGGTGACCTTGGTACGTCTCTAAGGGCGAACCTGAAATTTATAGATTGGGAGTAAAACCCCTTGTCTATTGGCTAGACTTTAGCGACCCACTAATGAGCCCCTGCATAGACTGTAGGTCATGGACAACACTAGGTTGGTTTGATAAAACAAGTGTGGACTGTAATCCACAGTAGAAAGTAGGGTGCCTCAGTGTTTATTTATTTATTCTTAGACCATATGGGTCATGTTTCGATCAAAAGTATTTAATTGTGTTTGTTTTGATGTTATATTATTTTTAAGATTGTTGTTTGAATTTTTCTGGATCTTTAGGTATTTTATTTATAAATTTTGGGTTTATAAAAAATAGAGATAATGATTTACATTAATTAAAGTATTCAAATTGATTTAATAAATTCTAAAAACATTTATTTGAATTTAAAATTATTCGAAATTGCATGGGAGTCTATTTGTGCACATTGACCCACCATGGCAAGTTGGTCGGGCCCATGATATGCCATCATGGGTGGCACGCCCCACCTCTTGGATCTTTTCATTTTATTGTTATCATCTAATTTGGCTTGAAGCCCAAGATATATTGTGTTTTGGAAGGAATGTGTGCACAGACTTGTGTATAAGTATAAAAAACGTAATATTATTAATTGATATTTCTTTATTTATTTTAATTGATGGGCAAATGATTTAGGAAATAGAAGATAAAGATTCTAGCACATTTCATATGATCTTGAAGGCCTATCTATGAAATGGATGGCTCGTATCTCTCATCCCACAAGTCACCCCAGATCAATGGTGCATATTCAATCTCACAAAAAGAGTCAAGCCATGAAAAACCCTAAAGCCCTTTGAAGCACTATAAAAGAGAATGGCCCCTACCTACATTCTCGAAACCAATGGTTTAAAAAACGGATCGGTGTCCCGGATCGGGCTTCCAAAAAACCGATCCGGATCGGCAAATCGGCGATTCGGATCGGGAATCGGGTGAATCGGTCATAATAGAGACTTAAAAAAAAATTCGAAAAAATTATTAAAATTCATTATAAATATTGTTTTTTAGGAATTCAATAAAAAATGAGGGTACGCCATTAAGAATTTTCATGTTTTTGAATGAATATGCGAATATTGATATGTTCTTTCCCAGCATGAACCGCCATTCAGCATTTAATTTACAGTATTTCGTGCTCATCCCTANACTGTTGCTGTTGGACTCGATATGT